TCCGATTTCAATATAACTGATAGGCTACATAATCGATGGTGTCGCTTCATAATACAGCGATATCTTGGCCAGTTCTTGGAGCAAAATTTAACATTGGACCAGCTCTCAATAGAGTTGTACAAGGGGAAGCTTACAATCAATGAAGTGAAGATCAACGCTCATGTAAGTTGCATTGAAATAATAGTACAAGTAGTTGCATTTACCTTGATTTCCACATTTACTTGCGTTAATGACCATTATGTGGTTTTTTACGTTTCATTTTAAGTATGTGAATGAACTTCTCACTTCGATGAATGTGCCTTTACGGCTTACTGATGGGTTTGTCGGAGGCATTTCAATAGGTTAGTTTTGCTAAGCTGTCTTTGCCATATGCCCACTTTTCTTCAAGATGTAGTTCAACAGCTTTGTCTCATGCTTCTTACAATTTAATATTTTTAAAAGGTATTAATGGGGGTTCAAATAAAGAGTACGAAGTGGTAAGTTAACATTTTTCGAATTTGCTCATTCATTTACAGAGGTACCATGGTTCTCTTTGGCCTCGGAAGCGAGCAAAATGAAGGTTCATCAGCTAGAGCTGACATTCCAATCAAGAGAAGGCGTAAAACTCGATAATAAGGATCTTGGTAACAAATTTGTGTTGTGATTTTTGCTCGTTGTCAGATTGTCATGTTCCAGTTTCTTCGATGATTGGTAGTGTGGTTGAATCACTAGTTTCATCTAGTGATTTAGCCAGGAGTTTCTACGAAAATGAGAAACAAGCGGGAGAAGAGGAGATCGATACCGAAGCCAGAGATGGAGTAAAAGCTTTCACGAAGGTCTGTTGATTCATTTAAACTTCTTCCACTTTCGTCTACATCTGTTGTTCGGATTAAGTTTCGTTATTTGCAATGAAAGGTCATAAATTTATTAGATTTGCGCATAAGTTACATAGTGTCTTCGCTTTTTCTAATGTGTTAAATATACCTTACCGCTTTTAGCAATTTAATTAAATGTTCTACTTCATGCGTCTTGTTTAATCAATCTTGGTTCACTATCGTAGAAATAGAGTTTGAACGAGGTTTTCCTAGCTCACTGCCTTGTTTATATTCGTTTTTTAAAGGTTATTGATGCAATCGTTTCCCGATTTTGTATGGAATTGACTGAAACTACCATTCGATTAGAAAATCCTCCAAAATCCATGTCAGATTTATGCACTGCTATTGAAGTCCGTCTCAAAGAGTAAGTGCCCTAACAAGTTGGAGATGGTTGCAAACAGATATTCTCATTGTATGTTTTAACAACTATCTGTAGAGTGAGTTTCATGGACGAACAAATGCGGAATTGCCAACAAGAGGGCAGAAGCGCAGAAACGATCACAAGTCAGCCTCAAGGAATGGGAAGCATTGCAAATCTCAACAAATTCATCGATATGTCTGGTAAAGTTTGAAAAAACATAGATAAGACCGCCTCTTATAAAGGGCGCTTTGTTGCAGTTCTTTTTATCTTAATTTTCTTTTTAGGCGTGGAACTCTTCACAGATGTGTTTACTGAGATTGAGGACCAGTATTCTGATCCCAACTCTAGTCAAATCATTACGAGTATGTACATAAGACGTGAAAAACAAAAACACGTGAGATTGTTAATCATAGCAACTCCTAAGATTTCCTTTTCAGCAATTTCATCTTATTTTGTAGAAATCATTATCGTTTTCAAATCACGAGTCTATATCGGCGGATCTTTATACCTCTGCACTGTCTTCATCTACTGCCAATTTTCAGTCGTGCTACTCTAATCGTGAGTTTTTGAACTTTTTTCGCAATATGGTTTGCTATTATTTTGCCTTAGTGAATGCGGGAGATAACTTGAACCAGACCGCTGGAGATCAGTTTCGGGTCGCCAAAGTAGACAGTGACCGGGAGTGAGTATAATTTTCACGTTTTTCTATTTTTTTAAAGCTGAATTTCTCAGATTGATGTCTAATCCTGTGAAATTTGCCGAGCTTGTTGGAGAGTCTCGCATGATTTTTCGTATCAAAAATTCTGATGCTGTAGCTGATAAGAAGGATAACAGGGCGAGTTGGCATTGAGACAATATTCTTCGTAGTTTCTTTTGTAAGAGGTGTGCTTTTTTTCCAGGTCGAAATCGAGTCGTTCATTACGGGTTTACATTGTTTTATCTTGCCTTCACAAATTGACATTTTGAAGAGGTGCGTTCTTGTTGGTTATCCGGTTATCCATTTCTTCAATTTTTGATTCAAAATTCAAGTACTATTGCTTTGGTTATTTACCTGCAGATTCTTCTCTTCGATCGCATTACCACAAACTGAAAGATTAAATGATTTTGGAAAGAAAATGGATAAGAGCGATTACGATGCCATGGCGAAGAATATTGAAGAAGAGACTTTCCAAAGGACGAGGATGACGGCTGCATTGGGATTACAAGGCCAGTTAGAAATCATATTGAACTTCGTTGTAAATCAAATTTGTAGAAATTAGGGGACTTTGACATCATTTTTAGATTTTTGTTGTACACCTCTAAGATGCAATTTTTTTAGCTCGATATGCATTTTAGCAGTTCACAATTATAGGAACATGGAGCAGACGTGAGGATTTTCACGAATTTGATTCTATTAATCTTGAGGACAATCGAACATCTAGAAACATGAGCGAAACTTGCCGCGAAAACTACAAGACCATCAGTTAGTCCTTTTGCGTTGTGTTGACTCTTCTAGGTCACCTGTTGTTTTGTTTTGATTTACAACA